TATACTACTTTGGAGGTGTGTACTGCTAGTGAAAAATGAAACATAGGACAAGTCAGCATTGGTAAAAGGGGATTCAAACTCTTTGTTGTCAGGAAGTATCAAAATGGTCTATCCAGCTGCAAACCCCTTCCTAAATAGGGGAGCAGCCCTGTAGGAGCACAAGCCAAGCCTCCTCTGGCATGCGTGTGGGGACAGCATGAGCCACATGCTCTCTGGACTCTCTGGGGGTGATAACCAGAGTGTGGAATCTGGGAACATGCAAATGCAGGCAGAACGCACATTTTTAGGCTTATTTGTGGACCAAAATGCAGACCTTTAAGTAAAGATACGAATTTAATCAATTTCTTGGTAATATCAAAAGAAAGTAAAGTAACAAAGAGTTTCATTTGAAAAAAGGAAGAAAACATTCCTACCTGTTTTGAGGGCATTTCACCAAATAATGTCTCACTGTGAAAGGAAAAAGAATAGAAGATGATAAATAAATGCTACTTTAGATTTATGTGCCCCAGGAATTCCCAGGAAAAGCAGGGGCCCAGGTGTTCTTGGGTGTCGGTGCTATGGCAGCCAACTCTCAGGGCTTGCACACTTCTCTCTGGGGGAGAAGAGCAGAGCCATCGCATGGACACCATAGTGACCTGATATTATCCCAGCCCTGGATCCAGCCAGGCACGAAGTCATACACAGACTTCCTGGTTACATAATAAAATATTCAGTTTTGGCCAAGGCAGGTTGGCTTGGGTTCTAACCTGAAGAGTCCTGGGATAAAAATCACCAGACTTCTGAGCTCTGCCTTACTCATGAGAAAGCCCTCTGGGGGCCAGATGGGACAACCTGTCTGCACTTAGAAGCTGCTCATTGTAACATGGGTTTGCATTCCCTGATTAATGCTCTTCCAAGACTAAAAAGAGGCCCTTGGGAAAACAATCTTGGAGAAAGACATCCTCCTACAGTAGATAGAGAAAAACCAAATTATTCTGGCCACAGAGGAAAAATAAGAATAGCTAGGCACTTAATAAAACAAGTGTCCAATCTAAGGCTCACAGTAAGTCTGCTTCAAATGGAAGTGAAGATGAAACAGCCAGGGAGACCCTGAGGTTGTGGGAGACTGTTACATCAGTGGCCCCAGTGAATCACATGTCTGTATATCTGTCCACCTCCATATGCGACCCCCTCCCACACTGTCTCTGCACTTGGTTACATGACTTGCCTTGGCCAAGGGAACATTAGCCAATGTGTCACAACAGAGGCATAAAAGGCATTCACGCTCTGGGGTTTGCTCTCTGTCTTGTTGCAGGGGACTCTTCTGCTACCACACGAGGCAGCCTGGCTAGCCTGCTGAACGATGAGACCACATGAAGCAGACACCCATTGTCCCAGCTGAGGCCCCAAAGCAACCAGCCCCAGCTGATCCGCCAGCAGACTGCAGCTGCATGAATGGCTCCAGCTGAGACCAGCAGAACTGCTCAGTTGAGTGCAGCCCAAATTGCTGAACTGTGGAATTGGGAGTAAATAAAATAATTGCTCTAAGCTATTATATTTGGGGCGATCTGTCATTCAGGCAATCAGTGCCGTTCCAGAGCAGGATGAGAGAACCTTAGTTTCAGAGGAGGTCACATAGGTTTACCTGGTCCAGTGCCCTACTAATACCTAACTCTATCTGCATTTCATTTACTGAGAGCCTTCTGTTTGCTGGATAGATGCAACAGTAATAAGAATCATAGTTAGTATTTATCGAACATTTCATATGTTCCTGACACTCTTCTAAGCTTACTATATGGATTAGTGGTCTGCAGTCTAGGGTTTGTACACCTCTGGGCACTGTTTGGAAAGAAAGTTTTAAGAGAATTGATTTCTAGCTCCTCATCTTCCATGAGTATTTTCTCCTAAGAATTCATTCTCTTGGAACGTGCCTGGGGTCTAACTGTACTCCTTTTCTTTCCCCTTCTCATATCACAAAAAGTCAAGGCACACATCCACCCACCCTGATTTACACTATGAAGACTTGTCCTAGGGAAAATTCCAGTGAGGCACCAAGCAAGAAATGATGTAAAATGTTGGTGACAGTGTGAGAAAGAGAATAACTAGTGACTGGCAGCTAACCCTTCTGCAAGGGGGGAGGTTTCTAATACCTTGCTTTCAATAAGAATTGAATAATGACCTAATCCAGCTGTCAACTGGTAGAATATTAAAAACCATTTCCGATGACAGATCATTATGTGGCTTTTCATATATAACTTGGAAGCAGTTTAAAGTATTGAGTGGTATAAAAAAATCTCATCCATTCCCACCTGTTTTTATATTGAATGAGGTATTTCAGAGCTAACATCTATTATCAAAATAGAAATTGAATTGATGGTGAATTCTATCCCTAAGCACATTCATACAAGCGTATATGAAGTAAAAATAAGAATCCACTTCAATAAAAATGCATTTCCAATCAAATTTTACTTATGATTATTAATTATTTATCTAAGTTTGCAATATATTTTGTGATATATTTATGTCATTTTGATTAATTTTATACTAATTTTCCAAATATCACTAGTTGTGTAATATTAATAACTCAATCTAGAAAAACATTTTAACCCATAAAGACTTATGGAATAAGGAAATTATGAAGTTATTAATTTAAATGTGTGCATATATATTATTTTACAAGTAAGTATAATAAGGTGGGCAATAAAGTACTTTCAAAACAAAAGATGTATTAAAGTAGGATAAAATTTTGTGGGAAAAATGGACTGAAAGTAAAAGTCCAGGGAGAAAAGGGACAGCACAACATTTCTAACCCTAAGGCTTGCTTGTGGGGTCTTTTTTCCCCTCATGGAGTCTTTAAGTAAATGGAGGTGGTGATTAAATTCAAGACATACAGATGCAAAAGAGAGAGATGTGTAACTGTTTCATTTCCAAGAGGTCAATATTTGTAATACTCTGGAAATCACATCCTTTGCAACAATTTACATTTATGATGAAAAAGTTTAGATATCAACAAAAAACCGATCAAGGGGGCGTCGTTTTTGAGATTATTTTAGGAGCTATGCAAGCAGAAATGTTTGAGGACCACAGTTTTGTGCTCTAATTTAATCTTCACAATAACCTGGTCATTACTCCTGTCTTATAGTGGAGGACTCTTAAGTACAGAGAGGCTAACAAACTTGCCCAAGGTCACACATGGGCTGAGTCGTGTCTCCTCTAAAATTCACATGTTGAAGTCCTAACCCTCAGTACCTCAGAATGCAACCATATTTGCAGATGGGGTCTTTAATGAGGTTTAAGTTAAAATGAGGCTAGTAGGATGGGCCATAATCCAACATCACTGGTGTCCTTATGTGAAGAGGAGATCAGGACACAGACATGCACAGAGAAAAGGCCATGTAAAGACACAGGGAGAAGAAGGCATGTACAGCCAAGGAGTTCACTGGTGTCCTTATGTGAAGAGGAGATCAGGACACAGACATGCACAGAGAAAAGGCCATGCAAAGACACAGGGAGAAGAAGGCATGTACAGCCAAGGAGAGAGGCCTCAGGAGAAACCAGCCCCACCAACTCCTGAGCCATGGACCTCCAACCTCCAGAGCNAACTTGCCCAAGGTCACACATGGGCTGAGTCGTGTCTCCTCTAAAATTCACATGTTGAAGTCCTAACCCTCAGTACCTCAGAATGCAACCATATTTGCAGATGGGGTCTTTAATGAGGTTTAAGTTAAAATGAGGCTAGTAGGATGGGCCATAATCCAACATCACTGGTGTCCTTATGTGAAGAGGAGATCAGGACACAGACATGCACAGAGAAAAGGCCATGCAAAGACACAGGGAGAAGAAGGCATGTACAGCCAAGGAGAGAGGCCTCAGGAGAAACCAGCCCCACCAACTCCTGAGCCATGGACCTCCAACCTCCAGAGCTGTGAGGAGATAAACGTCTGTTATCTAAGCCACCCGGGCCGTGGCCCTTTGACACAGCAGCGCGAGCAGACTGGCACACACGGGACGTGTCAGAGCTGGCAGCCAGGCTCCACAGCCTTCTCGTAGCTACTCTGCACCATTCTCAGAGATGCTGGCAGCTGGCAATAACTAATGGGTCAAAGAGGAAATCATAAGGGAAATTAGAAAATACTTTAGATGAAATTGAAAGCTCAGCATACCAGACCTTATGTTACACAGATAAAGCAGTGAATATATATTCTAATATTAATAAAGAAGAAAAGTCTCAAATCAACAGCCAAAACCTTCAACTGTCAGAAAGAAGAGCAAACTAAAACCAAAGCAAACAGAAATAATAAAGATGAAAGAAGTAAATAGAACCGAAAAACAATAAGAAAGCCAAATGTTGATCAAGATGGCATCTTCTACAGATGGAGAAACTGAGTCTCATGGGATAAGTGGCCAGCCCACTGTGCCACAGCTGGAGCCGGGCAGAGCTGAGACTGGAACCCAAGAGAACCCCACGAGCTGACCTGTGTTTTGGGAAGTCCAGTCCGTGGGCAGTGAGGTAAGCAGCCTGAAGATTGGGAATCGAGAGAGCAGGACAGGAGCATAGGGGGTTGAGTGTCCTGTGGGGGCAGGGGACCGACTAGGAAGGGTCAGGAGCCCAGTGAAGACGGTCAGGGCCAGAGTGCAGAAGATGCTCCCCTGCCAGCACTTGCCAACTGCTGGTTCCGAGGTCTCAGCCTGGTGTCTGCAAGGCCGAGGCTCCTGTTAATGAAGACGGTCTGCCCACAGGACCAGAAGTGAGTCCGGACACTGGAGGTGAGGCTAACAAGCATCAGAAAAATTGACTTCACCCAGACTCAGCCTTAAATATGCACAGCATAATCAGTGCTGATTAGGTAACTGTGTTAACCCAGTGTGGCTTCGACTTCCCCAGAAGCAGAGGCTGTAAGGCACAGATTTAAGTGCCAAGAGTTTCTGTGGGAGGGGATCCTAAGAGACTGAGAAGAGAAGGCAGCCAAGAGAGGGCGTGTGACGGAGCCAGTCCCCACCACGGGCCGTGGCCTGGCACCCAGGAGCCTGACCTGGAGGCGCCAAAGGACAACTCACGATGCAGTTCTTTTTAAATGGTGATCTTAGGATCTGTGGAACTTTGAAGACTCTTAAAAGGAAGGCCTGTTTTTCTCACCTCTCCTGAGAAGAAGCACCAGGCCCCAGGCCACTCCCAGCCTTTCTCCCCTCCTCAGCCGGGACCACGCTGCTCACAGTCCCCACCCCATGGCCAAACTCCCAGGTGGCACGTCCAGCCTGAAGGCTTTGCCTTCCACATATGGCCTTGTCCCTATCACCGCCACCACCCTGAATTGGGTGTCTTGGGGTGGAAGCGGCCATGCCCTCCCATCCTATCAGGCCCTGTGGTGGTGTCAGGACCAACAAGGTGTGACTGACCTTTCCCCCATTCTACCCGCTACTCCCTCACACCCTCCTCTGACCTCCAGGCCTTGCACAGACCCAGGATA